GAAAAAGAAAAAGATAACTACAATGAACACACGAAAGTGAAAAAGAAAGAGAGAAGGTAAGAAGCAACGAGCAATCTAGGGAAAGTGCTGTCCTACTTGCGCGCACCGTTCACTGTTACCATCGTTTCTCTACCAGCCATGACGATCATCATCATTGATATTATTATATTTAACAACAAAAATAGAACATTGAAAGAACGATTGTGCATTGGTTAGTTTTCATGGTGTTTGATAAAAAGCTTTGAAAAAAAAAAAAGAACTATTAGGGGTACCGAAAAGTAATCAAAATTTCTTCAATGAGTACACTAATATTTACTTTGTGTCAATGAAAAATCGAAGGATTTTTTAAAAAAGGAATTGAACAATTTCAAGATAATAAAAAAAAAAACATATACAAGATATAAAAAGAAATACATAAAAAAAAAAGACTTTTCCTTTCAACGAGTTCCTCAGACCCGACCGGTTTATTCTTAAACCTTTTCTTATCGTCCTCGAAGAAACTTAAATCGGAACTTCACGATTATGTGGAATGCAAGAACGTAATGCATTTATAGTTTCATTATCTTCACCTATCTTTTTCTCTTCACTCCCTATATGTAAAATATGACGTCAAATCAAAACATTGTTTTGTTATATTCGTCTCGCGGATCTATCAAAAATAAATTTCTTATCTTATCTTATTGTTCTTGGAGAGAAAATAAATTCGACGACTTTTATATTTTATTTTACAATTAGATTAATGATATACATATACTTTTTATTAAAATTTACTTTATAAAGAACAAATTTTAAAATTTAACTTTTAATTTTGATTATCAAAATTTATACACGAAAATGTTATATATTTACAATTTGATATTTGAAATCGTTCGTACGCGAGTTCTATTATTTTGTTATAATACGAGAAAGAGAAAGAAAAAAAAGGAAAGAGAAAAAAAGAGAGAAAGAGACAGAGAGACAGAGATCATACATAAAAAAAATAATCATTTAAATTATTTTTATTTCTCGACTCGGAATATATATGTATACAACTTCGTTATCATGACGGTCGAACAACTTGTTTGTCAGAAAGAATCATTTGCAACAACTCCAATGATTAGATTATGTATTCTCTCGTGAAATGTAAAACAATAGTTATGCGTTATAAAAAATTCATCCAACGAAATTGCGCGTGACAAAACTATATTAACAATATAGAGTGTAGATGATAGGGACAATTAACTATTATGAATGACTGAGCCAATCGAATGGTCAAGTGGTAACAGAACGTTAACCCCCAATAATGCTATGTTAACTATAAAGTCTATCAATATAAGATATACACATAAATCTATGTATTATATTTTATATACCATCTGTACAATACATCCATAAAAAAGAATTACTCATGTGCTCGTCAATAATTTATTTAAATAATTACAACCAGTAACTCGTGCCGATTAAGACCTTTCATCCTCGGCATGATTGAGCACTGGAGAGACTTTAAATAAAAACTCACGGTTTAGGAAGTTCTACGATGGCTCCAAAACACTCCTACTTCGCAGCAAGTATTGTAGTCTGACCATGAAAGACGATACTCGATTAGCCATTGAAGAAGATCCATCAAAGATTCACCCAAAATCCATCGAAGATCCATCAAAGAATTCATCCAACATCATTGAAAGGAAGAGAATCCATGGTTATATCTGTAAAATAAAATAGAACAAAATGATAAATTATCTAGAATATTATCCAAAATTATATAAAATAAAATCGAATAAAATGTAAATAAAAATGAATACTTACAATGCATTCCAATGGGACGAAGCTCAATGGCATCACGGTGATGCACACCTCGCGTGAATCTAATAACGCGGTATAAAGGAAAATAAGAAACTATAGATGAGTTTCTTATCTCGAATCTGAAATTTTATTATACGACGAACAACACTGACTCTATAATTCGCGTTTGATTTTAACTTATTACTCGCCCGATCACTGATTCTACAACTAATTCAAAGACTGCATTGCATGCAGTTTGATGATACCACTATAACCACTGCTTTGGTTATTACATATGGGCCATTCGTGCACGATTGCAATCTGAAACTGAAATAAAAAATAATACTATTAATATCATTACTATAACAGAAAATCATTAAAATTTTTGAGGAATTATTTAATACAAAAATATACTCACTTTAAATCTTTATTGATGAATGCACAATGAGTTTCCATCCTTAGGATGACGATGATAATACACAAATAATGACTATAAAACTGCATTACATACAATTAATTCAATTAACACTAGATTTATGGACTGAGCAAATTTGATTCATTTCAAACTTTTTTGTTACATATATATAAAATAGAAATATTTTATTTAATTTTAATTTAATCAAATTTAAATTTAAATAATTTTAAAGTAGAATATTTGTTTTAAATATATGTTAATTTTTAATTCTGTAATGAAATATACATAAATATTAATTCCTCTTCTCTACCCATTTTTTCATTTAAACAATGTTTGTAAATTTTTAAAAAATAGTGAACAAATCTAGTGTTAAACGAATTTTTAAATGAATTTAATTAATAAAATGTGAATACCATTCCAACGATGATCTGAAACACAAATAAAAATAAAATTATATAAATCATTGTTATATAAAAATTACTATAGTTATTGAGAAAATGTTTAATACAAAAATTGACTTACGTTTTTTCTTCATTGATGAATGCACGATGGATCTCCTACCCTTAGGATGACGATGAGCACATGTTTAAACCGAATAAAAGAAACTTGCGAGTTTCTTAACCGAGCAAACGAAACTTTAACATGCGACGATCAACACTGAATTTACTTGTCGACTTTTTTATATTTTATTTTAATACGATGCAACACACGAAAACCTCATTGCCTACGCGCTCGATTGCAATGATTTTCTGAAACGTAACAAGAAAACGAACAATTAGTATCATTGTCGTAGTAAAAATCCATTGAAATTATCATAGAAATATTTGATAGTAAAATATACTTACTTTTAGTCTTCGTTGATGACTGCAGGATGGGTATCCTACCTTTAGGATGACGATGTATAAAATAAAATTAAATAAAAAGTCTGAAAAGCTGAAACATACTAAAGACTATATTACAATATTTCCTGTAAATCATTTCTGAAGGCAGGGCACACATTAAAACCATTGAATATTTTATCAAAAATATTCAATAGTAAATAGAAAGAAATAATTTAATAATCTATGAGAATTGACATAATTAAAAGTTAAAGTTATTAAATATTTGTGAAATTGATCAAAGTATGCAACTATTTGCTTGCAATATTATATACCAAGTATGTAATGTTAGTAAAAATATTAATGAAAAATCTTTAAAGTTTTCTAAATAAAACAGTAATTGTATCAATAAACTCAATGAAGAGTAACATAAAAAATAAACCAATTTTTAAACCATTCTATGCAATGAAAAACTTTTTAAACTATTAAAATCAAAACGATAACGTTAAAAATAAAATGATTAAATAATTTAATACGCCTCATTTTCGTTTATGTTGTCTCGTCGAAGGATAGAAGGCGAATAGGAAGTACGTTACTATGTAACCTTGCTAGAGGAGACTTTGGGAGTGTCGAACGCTCGGCTATTATACCTATGTTATCGGCTGTTTTCGTTTTGTCGTCGACTCGAGAAATACCTGGAAATATAAATACACATTTATAATAGCCTGTATGTCGAATGTATTGTTTTCTTATTCTTCCTCTCTCTCACTCTTACTCCTTCTCACTCACTCTCAATTTCTCTCACTCTTTCTGTCGTATTTCTATATGCGAAATATACTTAAAAAGAAAATAATGCTCACCTCGACGTACATAGAGAAGATAAAAAAGTTGCCGCACTAAATATTAAATAAAATTATTTAAACTTCTATAACAAATATAAATTTAAATATGTCCGTGATCTTTAATGTGTATTTAATGCTTGAACCATGATATGGAATAAAATTCCAATTTCGATTAGGTAAGTATATTCTTTGTCAAGTATTTAATTATATGTTAGAAAAACTGTTTACTGAGCTTTTCATTCTTATTTTCATATATTCGGATTTTTTAGGATGATTTATTTTTGTTTTGGACCTTTCTTTTTATTTCAATTTCTTCCGCGAATCTTTATTTTTTTGTAGCACGATGCATTTGATATTGTTCGAAATATGATTGAGTGCTTCCATTTAGATTTCTTTTTGAAGATATGTTTGTTCCTTACATTTCTGTTGCACTTATAATTCATACTTAGTCCACATTTGTTGCTGAAGTCGCACACGATTCGAATAGTAATTGGTCAAAAGCTTTATTTAAAATGAATATTATTTGCTCGTATTTAGACTATTGTTCAATTTTTATTTTTCTACTACATTCAGACTATTTAAATACTTGGAAACAGTTAGCTCGTTTATGCATATTTTAAAAATTAGTTTTGCAGGTTATTTATCAAAAAAAAAAAAAAATATCAAAGTTATTTTCATTCTTTCTTACTAACAACTGCAAAATGTATATTATACATACTTACCTAAATATATTTATTTAAAGAAATGGAAGGCCAACAATTAGAGAATACAAAAAAATACGAACGTAAAGAAACCCGACGTGAGATGATGGAGAAAAAAAGATTGCATTTGAGACTACTTTTTGCAAAGGAATTAATTGAACAGGAAAAATTATTACGTGAATTGGGCTATAGTTTCATTAACACACAATATTGATTATATTTCTTTTTATCGTATTTTTGCGTTACTTTTCTTTTTCTTTATAAATTGAATAAAGTTTGTTTACTGAAATATATTTTATGGTAACAATCGTGTAAAGAAAATATTGCCTTAGGGAGCATTTATTATAATACGTTAATGTTACATATACGTGTTTGCATTTGTGATGTAATATAAATAAAATAGAGATATATCTTACAAGGTGATAATGAGTGAAAATAGATTGATTCTCCATATTTTTTCTTAGACTTTGAATCCTTCATTCTTAGACTTTGGTAAAAGAGTTCAAACCCAAAAATTATACAAAATGCCAAAAGAAGATCTAAAAGTTTAAACTCCTTTAAAAAAATCTTACTGTATGTACACTTTGTAATAAGATTATACGGCTAGAGACCTATTATTCTTTTCTCTTTTTTTGTTTGTTTTTTTTTTTTTCTGTTGAATTTTACTTGTACATGATATTTTCATTAAAAGGTATATAAATGGCAGATATTTCCTTGTAATTAAATTCCTATGTAAATGTTTTGAGGCTAATCATGAACAAATACAGTACAAGTCGTGTCTTATGTAAATTGAAATGAAACATTTAAATAATAATATTATAATAATAATTATAATAATAATAATGGTAATAATAATAATAGTAATAATCAATTAATGAATCTGACTTGCACACATTAGATCGAAAAGTTCTGCATTTGAAAGTACAATGCAAATTGAAATCACTAATTGTAAATACAATATACTTTCTAATGGACGGCATAATACAGTATGCGCGTTATATTTAACGTTACGAGCTTTCTACGAGTTCCTTCTTTTTATAATAGGACATTCCATATTTCTTTCTTCTTTGTCTTTGGATTATCTCAATCGTCTTTTATATCGTTAGGAACATTGTAAATTTGGTGTATAATATAATATATAGAAATATAAAGTAGTTGTACAGATCGGTTAACATTCTTCAAACAACAATTATGAATATTCAACCATACACGGAATGTCCATGAAGTTAATTTTTGATTCTTGACAAACATTGAAACATTAATATTAAATGTGCTACATAAAAGAGAGTAATTATTAAATTATCACATTAATTATTCATTAACAATATATTTTATCTCTTTCTTATTAATGTTAAATGTACGTGTATACCACACCATTTCGTTAATCACAAATCATTTTAGAAATAATAATGACATTTTCATTACTCTCTCGGTCGTGTTATTTTACAAGTAAAGTAAGCTCGCTACGTGTCGACAAAGTGCACTTTGAAAATATATGTAAAAATAATATATATGTTCTATTAATTAGAACAGAATTTATCTTCCGTTTAGTTTTAAAGCGTAAATTAATTTACTATCCATTGAAGAACACTGGTGTCGCCTCCACCTGTAGACACCAGTCTTGTGTCATCTTGAAGGAACGATACATTTGTCACATGACTTGAGTGACCACCATAGCTATGATGTAATGACTAAAAAGAAATTTTAAAATGTCTCATAAATGTATAATTTTATATATTTATAATATTTTTATATTCGTAATTCTTATTTTATATATGTATATATATATATAATATTACTTTTGGTTGACAAGCAGGATGTGAGAATAATTTGACTTTTCCAAAATCATCTCCCGTAGCAAGAAGTTTACCATCTCCGCTGCGACTACAATTATTAATATCTGTACCATCTGCACCTTCTGGCCAAATACCAATTGTTTCAAAAGATATTATGCAGGTATGTGTTGCCCAATTGACATCTCTAAGGGTGGAGGGTTGAGATATTTGACGACAAATACCAGGATTCCCTATAATATAATTCATAATATATAACATAAGCATCATTTTTTTAATGTGGATAATTATTAATGAAGATTATATACTAACAAAATAGAAGTTCATAATCTCCGCTATTGCTACGTAAGTATTGTCCATCTATCGACCAATCCAAATGAGTTATGAAACTAGAATGTCCCTGAAATAAATAATGATGCACATATATATTTCAAAATGAATCATAATAATTTGAAAAATCATGACAATTTGTGGGAAATTATAATTTGTTCATTCGTTAATTGGAATCAATCTTTTTAGACAGACGTGAACAGTTTCTGTTTCGATTATTATGCGTTTAGTCATTTTTAACGGATCGTGAAATATATTGTGAAAGCGGGAATTACTATGCGTGCTCATGTGAAGCAATTTATCTACAAACTTGTAAATAATATTTATTGTAATGTGAGAGTCGTGTTCTCTTTTTTTTTTTATTTTTTAAATATTAACATAATATATTTTTTGTATTTTCAAGCAACCCAAATATAAATCTTACTCCGTGCCTTCGTATCCGCTTGGGCTAGACAGGAAGAAAAGAAATACGTTAAGTAGCTATGTACAGTTGAATGTATAATCATAAAAATTACCTAATTTAGCGTTTATAACACGACCGTTAAATAAAGTAACATTAAAATAATTAAAAGTAAATTTACACAAGCTATAAAATGATAATTATTACATGATATAAAATGATCAATATACAATGAATGATATGCAATCAATGATGATGATAATAAATATGACAATAATATAAATGAACATACCATACATCTACCGACTCTACTGTATTTAGTAGCATCTTCATTAACTTGATATATATAAATATAATTATCTCTTGAACCAAGTGCTAAGAGATTTCCATTTGGGGAGAATGTGGCCACCTTTTAACGAACAGAAAAATATTTTATCATTTAAAACTTCTTTCATAAAAATATATCATAATAATTTATCTAAAGAGAAACTAACTTGAATTGGTTCTGATCCGTCTGTATGATGAGTATAAAGTTCACGCGTCTCGCTATCAATGGCCAACCATTTCCCAGATACGCAACCAACTACCATAACGGTACCCTCAGGAGAGAAACCGATGCTTTGTGCTTGTTCCTGTATAAAAATTTTTAGTTAGGGCTATTCTGAAAGTATTACTGCAAGTTTACGAATAAACAAACTGTATATGTAATATTAAAAATATCAGACGTACCCCGATATCTTTACTCCATACCACAGTATGACTAAGACTATCCCACATTTGTAACAATCTATCATGACCTGCTGTTGCGAATTGAGGTAATATTGGATGAGCTGCCAATCCCCAAACTTCTTCTGTATGTCCTAACATCGCCGGATTGAATCCCATTTCTATATCTCCAATGAGAATGCAATTTTTGGTGGTACCAATCAATAATTGTGATCCTCTACCTTCTGATAACGTTCGAATTCCACCAAAATGATCTTCAATCTATAAATCAATATTCAAATCATTTATACTCTGCGATAGTAAATCGTGAACATAATTATCTTATTAATTTACTTGTGCTTCTTCTCCTGTTGGATTTAATGATCCATCAAAGTGCAATATTCTGCCATCCTTTCCACCTCCAGTAATAACATTTCCATTTTTCAAAACGCATATAGAAAATATAGATCCTTCGTGTAGATTTCTGACCAATCTGGATATGGTGTTGGTACCTTAATTTGAAAGCAATTTTTTTTTTAAATTTAATATACATTTATTTTATTTATATTTATATGTATTAAAAGTAAAAAAAGAATACCTCTTGCCCAAACAATAATGTTGCCATTACTGTCGCCAGTAAGAACATCTCCATTTTGATTAAAAGCGACACACGTGACGTATTTTGGTTTCTCTCTACTTTCAAATATACCCATTCTTTTATACAACATACCGCCACTGTCCAAGGACCAGAAAGATACGTGCCCTTTACCGCATGAAACAATTTGATTTCTTTCGAGGGGATGCCATTCGGCACAAACAACCGTGTCGACGGAACACTGCAATTCATTATTATTATTATTATTATTATTATTATTATTATTATTATTATTATTATTATTATTATTATTCAGATATTTTATAATATTTTCATTCAAAAATATGCATATTTATTTTCCACAGTATAATTCAGAAAGATGTTATTTTATAAATGAACAAAATGATATGTCGTAAGAAATATTGTAACATGACGTACCTTCGTTTCTGTCAATTTAGAACCTTTGTCACTTTTTTGCCAATCCCAAATTGATATATTATGATCGGACGTTTCGTCGATAGCACATAAATAATTACCACCGTCCGCTTTCGAGAATGACAAACAACAAATCGATCCGTCAAATTCGCCGTTACCAATAACGCTCAGTGTGGCTAAACTAACCGAATTCCATATTCTGATGCGTTGCTATAAAAGGAATATAATATTTATTTATTAATATGGCATTATTTCTCAATAATTCAATTTCAATATTCACAATCTTACCAGTGCATCACGTCGATCTGAACCACAGGTTTGCCCAGTTGCAACTACCATTTTATTTGGGTGTATCGCAATACTGAAATTTCAGTAAAATCGATATAAAACAAAATTCAATTAATTTAAATTTTAGTTAATTCAGGCTATATTATGTCAATGTAAACGAATTCTAACTCACCATTTAACATCATCCGTGTGACCCAAATAATGTCTTTGACTGTGTTCTTCCATATTATAAAGTACCACCACCGCAGCAACGAAATAAACGATCTCGCCAGTTGGTAGAAGATGTAAATTGCTACGGCAATCTCTCCCTCGATATCCATAGACCCAATCTAATTTGAGTTTACTTTGCGGTGGTGTTGTTACTTTGTGAAGATCGTAGTGATCTATCATAGGTGTTGGAACATATAAAACGACTGGTCGTCCTCGCAGGTACATACGAACGGTACCTTCCTCCTCGTTATACTGCATGTCTCTGGTACTGTCAAATATAACATTAATATTGTTAATTTTATATAGTTAATTAGAGCGAAAAATAATTAAATTGAATTAATGATCAATCATCGATAGATCATTCATGCTAACTTTCACAATATCTTGAAATAATTTTCTCTTTAATCATGACTATATATATATATTTGTATAATAATGTATATATCGAAATAATCGAACGAGGAATATAATAACATATATATTTCTCGTTCGATTATTTCGATACTAATAATTAAAGCAATTAGTTCAATCACTTTCCAACATTCTCGTGTGCGACCAGAAAATTTGAGGGATCGTAAATTGCTTTCCAAGGGAGTCAGTAGACCGCATGAACCGAACGTTTTCCTTCTGAGGCTCGATTCACGTGGGTGTGTCTGACACACGTGTTATCTATCTCAACACGTATAAAAGGTATCAGGTCGTAATTACATCGTGTATGAGTTACGTCACCCTACCGGTTCAGAACGGAACACACAAAAGACGTTCTCTCCTTTTTTTAGACTCGATCGAAAATTCCTTCAAAGGTTTTGTGAATACTTTTTTTTTGTTCGTTAATTTACAAAATCATTTTCTCTTCAATTATTGTACGTAAAAATTTTCATATGACAAATGTTTAAATGATTCATTAGAAAATCCATTAAACTACATCACAAAATGAATTTTAATGTTAAATATTTAGAAATTTATACAAGGTAAACCATTCAGAAAGGATTTGATTTTGAGAATATATTTGGCTAAAAAATACAATTTATTTTAAAAGAATATTAAGAAAATTTTACAAAGAGAAATCGGTTGATGTGGGGAAGGGGGGGGAGGCTTAAGGAAGTTTAATTTTGGTTACTTTCTCTTACTATATCTACAGATTAAATCGTTCGTATAGGTGATTTTTTCACGAGTATATAGATTTCCAGGTAAAAGATTATTATTTATAATTATTGTTCGATTAAAATTTATTGCAGGAAGGACGAATACTCATTGAATTCTTCTATTTCGTCATAATTGGCGCAATGATACGTAAGCGTAGATTATTACCTGTTATATTGAATCGGATGATCAAACGATGATTGGCCTCGGTTGGTAAAACAGAATAAGAGAAAGAGACAGCAAGGATATACGTTGTCTGGCTCTTTCTCAAACGTGTCCTTCGAGTCTTTCTTTTCGATTTCGCAAATGTACGAGAGACACGTTACTTTTTATTATTATCGTTATTGTTATTATTATTACGTATGTTCGTTGAAATGAAAAAAATTTGTTCGGTAAGAAACGTTCGACTGTGCGGCTCGCGCATTACTGCAACCGAGAAACACTCCTGATTTTTCATAATGACGCAGCTTCTCCCCTCTCTTTAAAACTGGCTTCTCAGTGGCGTCTCTTTATTTCTTTTTGCCCTCTTTTTATGCTTTTTTCTTGTAACGATCGTATAAACCATTTTGGCACACTGAACAAAATTCTCAGACAGACAAGAAGACTTTTCGTCTTATCGATTTTTGTACGATACAAGATTTCATTTCAATTAGATTTTCATAAATCGTAATATTAATTACAGTTAATTTTCATGCGGATTATTTTGTTATCAATTCGACGAACACGACTCGTGCAAGTTAATGAATGAAAAAAACGTCGACTTAAGGTATATTCGTTCAGGTGAAAAGGCAGACACGAGATTTTTTTAGAAACTTTGATTCACTATATATATGTAATATATATTTTTTAGAAACTTCGAATTTTCGATTCACTATATTTTTATTCTTTTTTACAACACTCTTTCTATGTAACTCTGACGTTGATTGTATGTATGTATGTATGTTGTATGTTCTCACTTGATTATGTTAGCGTTGAGATAATCACATTAGATTGAAGGTTTTCCCGATCAACCTGACCTTTCATTTCGTATATCCACATCACCGATGTTCAATCAACGAGAAAAAAAATACAATACCTTTTCCTGTATTTTTTGTTCTATTTTGTTTTTTTGTTCTGTTTTTTTTTTTTTTTTGAATAGAGAAAATGACCTACTATGAGATTATAAAATCACGACCCTCTCTCTTTTCTCTTTCTCTGTCTCATTCTTTCTCTCTCTTACATTCACACAATCAGTTACTTCCCATGAAGGCTATCAACGATCACGCTTGTAGACACAACGAAAACGACGTTGTGTAAGAGTAGGAATCATTCTACTCACTTTCTTCGGTAACGCAATAGTGCACTTCGCACTGCCGTGTTAAATGAGACCGTCTATCACGTGGTGTTATGGCTTCGTCATGTTTGCCACTGTAAAACGATGCTTCGCAAAATCTTCTATAAATATTTGAATTATTATATTTTTCTTATTTATTATCTTTTTGCTTTTCTTTCTATTTATTTATTGTTCTAATTCAAAAGAAAAGAAAAACAAATAGAAAGGCAAAAACAGAAATGGTTATTAAAAAAAGAAAAAAAGCAACTGTAAATCATTTCATTGTTTTCTCTCGTCTCGGTAGAACGAGAACAATCCTCTTTTAAGGTGTTGCGGTATTTAAATTTTAAAATAGACATTTTCCTTGCAACAGGCCAACTAGGCCCAACCAACCAATCAACGGATCTACATACATCACCCAACCACCCTTACACACACATATACATACACAAACACCCCTTTTTTGTTATAAATTATGTATGCACGCCTTTTTCAACTTTCATTTCTCTTTACAAAGGCGCGAACAAGCATTTCCTCATCTTCCTGAAGAAGATTTTCGTAGTAGAATAATTTCTTTGCATGCGAGGTCGAAGGTCGGCTTACCAAAGTTACGTTCAATTCACGTGTGCTAATAGGAATAGGGTATATAAGGTTGGATAATGAACGTTTATCGTGGCTGCCTTTTGACCTCAAAAACTTTTAGGATTCTCGTAGAAATACTCACGAGCGATAGCTGGAATAGCTGGAATTCCCTTTCTAAATAGTTGTCCGTTGTCCGTAAAACACTCACGTATTATTTCCAACTCGTGCGATTGATAGCACGTGCGATAACGAGATAATATAAATACGACAATAATAATAATAATAGAAACTAGGATTGCGTGATAGTGTTAAAATGAAAAAAAAGAAAAAACAACTAGGCAAAACTTTTTCTTCTCTATTTACCCGTGTTTGACGTTGTTCAGCACCGCAGGCTTGAAGAGGTTGAACAGGGACTTGGTGGATGCCGACAATCTATAATGAACGAAAATGCAAAAAACGAAAACCATGCCGTGCAGAACAAAGGAGAATATTACTAAACAAAACAAAAAAATAAAAAAAGATAGTAAAACACAAAAACGATCCACGAAAGCACGTCGAAAGTTTTATTTATTATAATATTATTCCACGATATATCGTGTAAAGGTAAATATTGTTAATTATTATCAAACATGAAAGAAAAAGAAAAAAAAAGGAGATCAAAAAAATGATCGACGAGCTTTGAGTATCGCGTTAAAGTAAAATAATAATAATTAAAAGGTAAGCAACGATTCTTTTGCAGTGTGTTGTAAAACAATAGTTAGATATTAAAACACGAATATAATAGAAAACCAAACAAAAAGAAAATATAAAAAAAAAAAAATTAATAAAAATTAATAAAGTGCGAATATTACATGTATTACTTATGCATTATGTGCATAATGAAAATCATAGACCTACCTAGCACCAACGAGTTGAGAATTGCTTCCTTGATTTTGAGGAGAATGCGTAAAGTCTCCAGTTGATGACCACCTTTTTGCTCTTCGCAAGCTACTCTGTGGTGGACCATTTGACCTTGTCGTGGGTGACCTAACGATCGAGATTCGAATTCGAATTTAATGAAATAATAAAATAAAATAATCTACTAGCATAAGCCCATTGTCTTAGTCCTGTTTTTTTGTTATTTAAATCGTTTAAATCCTTACACTTTCGTTTGGTTTATTACGCCAGTATTCAGGATACACTTTCGTTATGGCCGAGCAAACATATTACATAGGTAAATAGTACATACTCTATTAGCATTCCAAGCGAAGTTTCAAAGATGGAAGCTGATAAACGTGAAAGGCTCTCTTGCTAATTTATAGAGAAAGAGGGTAAGGGAAGGGGGAAATGACTTACCTAGCAATTGGTAATGGCGTGGCTCGTGGACTTGGTGATGGCACCGGTGAAACACTACTACTGCTAGGGCTATCCGAATGTAAAGAACCCGTTGATTGATAATGGACCGATCTTCTGAAAATGTCATTATACTTTTCAAACATTGTCCGAAAATAACTTTCAATTATTATTATCGTCAATGTAATAATATATTCTAAAGAAATAAATGATTATCTATTAGATTTTATTAATAATATCAAATGAAACGAATATTATCGTAATATCATTTATTGGATGTATTCAAATGTTATTGGCATTTATGATTATTTAATTTAATTATGAATTATACAATCATTATACCTCTGTGGAAGTTGAGAAGAATGCGAATAACTGACCGGTCTCCTAGGACTGGAGTTCGCATCCTGAACATCCTGAGACGATCCAGATGATGATGAGTTTCTAACATTGGTACCACCACTTTGACGTAAACGCAAATCTTTCTGAGGCACCGAATTTTGTTGATTATCTGAAATAAATGTACGATATTATCGAGAGAAAATACACACACGAATGATTTGTAAAATATCAAAGGAATGTTGTTTAATTTATATTATCGAAATAGAAAAAATCAAAAAGAAAATAAATAATAGTCTTACTTCTAAGAGAAACATGGCCGTTTCTTAATGGCGAGGATACCATTCTCTCGTTTCTCCTCTCATTTCTTTCATCCTCTCTCTTATCTCGTCCTTCGAGCTGAGAAATTCGCCTTAACGCGTCCGCCAAAGTAGCACGAAGACAAACTATCTCGTCTCTTTGCGCCAAGGATTGCCTTTCGAGGTCTGCGACTCGACCCAACAAGGATCCAGTCTCGCATTCCAACATTTCGTCTGGAAAAAAAAAAACAAAAAAAAAATAATTTATATATTATAAAAATGATATTATAACATGATAAAACACGATAATAAATCAATAATTATTTGTTATGATGTTATATATGATACTTTTATTTTATTGATTAAATACATCATTTATGATGTTCTCAAGTATTAAATAAATTTACAACTTTTTTTTTATTATGGTTAAATACGTTAGGTTGTTTGTATTTTCTTTATCATAATATTAATAATTATTGTTTCCTAATCAGTGTTCTAATATTGTTTTTAAAATCTTTTTGACAGATTTTGATATATTTTTATACATCTTCATATATAAAAAACGAATAATTTTCGTTTTAAATAATAATTTTTAAATATTGTTTTAGTTATTGTTCAACACCACAATATCAAATTGATTATGATATTTGTATTGAATTTAAACAAAAATATAACATTAGTATGGATAGGAAATATGCGAACTGTCGGTATAGATGTAATGTCAATATAACAATAAATGATATCTAACCAATCCTAACGTAATTGAATTTAAACAGCTGTGATAGAAGGAAAATCAGAAATATAAATACGTAATCACTCGACAATATTACCAAAAGGAGAAAAAATATCATGAAATAACTCGAATAATTATTGACTTACCTTCTTAATTTCTCTAATATATCCTCTTTTTTGAAATAAATTCACAAATGCCAAATATATATATATACGTATAAAAGAAAATATTTGGATGAGTGTTTTCTCGTACTATGTACTCACGCCATGCTTGCTCCGCCTCGTCGATTGTATCCATCGTGTCCGGCGTGGACATTGCGATTAACCCTTGCGATGACCCCGGCGTATTAATACGTTATTCAATTGAATAGATTAACGAACGCAAACAGAGCCAACGTACTCTCCGGCGCCATACTTCTTATTCTTTGATTATTTTCAAACGACGAAAAAAATATCTTTTTCTTTTATTAACTTTTCAATGAATTATTTTTCCAATGAAATTTTTTATTTATATCTTTTATCGAATTATATTTTCATCCAAATTTATTTATTTATTTATTTTTAATAAAGATTCTTTTTTAATATTACTAAGATTTTCATTGTTTCCGTTTCTTGTACACTTTCGACGTAATCGTGTTGTAATCGTTTGTGTTATTATTGTTGTCCTTGTCATAACAATACTCTCGAACGAAACGAAACGTTTCAATAGCATCGTATTTGTAAGCTAACGAACGAGAAAAATTATAAACTTTTGTTATTAATCTGTGAATCGAAGATAGAAAAGATCGATATCACCATCGATCACTTTTTTTACAGATGAACGTAAAAGGAATTGGAAAAAAATAAATAATAATAAAAAGATATGGTATTGGAAAACATTTTATCGGTCGAGTAGTCGTGACTCGTCGGTTTCGTCGCCGATAAATACTAGCCAATTAGCGTCGTGCAATTAGCGCTAGAAAGCTTCTAGTCGTTGCAAGTTATGTACACAGAAACGCATACACTCACTCACCCACCCACCCACATACACATACACATACACTTGATTCTTTTCTTGAACAGCACGAGGTAAAAGATAAGAATCAACCTTTTCTTTTTAAATTAATTCTCTCTCTATGTTCTATCTTGTTTTATCTTTGTAAAAAACACGAAAGATCACTCGAAACTGAGATAAAAGATTATTTAAATATTATAAAAAAGAAAACAAGGAATGTTGAAAAATCAGCGTGGAAAACGTCCGCGACTGTTAACGTATAGGCGAACGTTTTAATAATACTCGTGTTTCCTCCTCGTGTAGTACCTCTCTGAGAGGCGTAGTTGGACGAATTGCGTTATGTAAGATAACATATCTATGTCTCTTTCTCTATTTCCTCTCACTTACTCTCTTTCCTTAGACTTCTCGTTCAATTCATTCACTCACTCACTCGTTCGTTCGTTAGTTCATTTGCTCTCCTTCTTGTCTCTACTACCAACTATACAACTGCAACTACACAACAACAACAACAACACAACTACAACAACTATCTCTTTTTCTCTCTCCTACTTTTTCTCAGTCACACACTCTCTCTCTCTCTCTCTCTCTCTCTCTCCCTCTCTCTTTTTTCCATCTTTCTTTCTCATACACTGTGGCTCGTTTGCTATTTCTCTTTTGAAGTTACGGAAAAGCATATAGAGCCTTCCTCTTTCAGTTTTTTACGCGCCGGTGCTTTCCCTTACCGCGTGGAAACGACGATAACCGACGAGACGGATGGATGATCGACCGACGTTCGTTCACTCTCTCTCTCTCTCTGTCTCTCTCTATTTCTTTATTTTTTTTTGTCTTCTACTAACCCTTGTAACTTCCCTTCTTTGTCTTTCATCCCTAACGAAACATGTCTTTTCGAAAAAATAGAAAAAAATGAGTATCAAAGGGTACGACTCTATCCAGCTTTTCCTTTTTTGCTTTTGTTTTTTGTATTTTTCGAGGGTGGATCTTATACGTTCCTGTTTATTTCGTTTTTACTTTTACGATTTTACGAATCGTCCTTTCGTCAAATTTTAATCTTATTTTTTTTATTTTTCGTTTACTCGTTCGTTATCATTTTTTTTGTTCTCTTTTTATTTATTTATTGTTCTTCCCTCGTTAGATTTATTTGATCAATGATCGCAAAAAATAATTAAAATATAAATTGTATTGGAATACTGATTTTTAAGATTTACACTGGTCGATCGAATTATCATTTTTGTTGAATTTTTATTTTCTTTCTTTTTTCGTTTCTTAATATATTTTTTTTTATTTATTAGATCTTTCTCTCTTTCTCTCTCTCTCTCTCTCTTATTCTCTTTCGAAATTTCGACAATTAAGATATAATTAAAATATAATATTATATTTAATTGTGGATTTGTTGTACTATCGAACAGATATTTCATAGAAATATTTATTTAACGAAAAACTTTTTTATAATTTTTTTATCCTTTGCCGTTAATTTTGACTTTTTCACACAATTAAACTTTTCATTAAAAAATAAAATCGAATTTAAACGTTAAACGCATTTTGACGTGTTGAAGGATGAAGAAAATTAAAAAAAAAAAGGATGTTTACTACGAGTTTGGTAAATGTAAACAACGATCGACACGTCTACTAGTGTTTTGGACATTCGTTTCTATTTGTATTTTTCTTTGAAATCGATTGAAAGTTCTTTGAACGCGAGAAACCTTCACTGCTTGTATACGACTTGAGAAAAATGAAAAAACAAATAAATAACAAAAAAACGATAAAAGACCAGATAAATAAATAAAGAAATATATCAATAAATAAATAAACAAATAAATAAGTTCAACAATAAATAAATAAATAAATAAATATAATATTATATTTTACACGATCGCAGTTTTATTTTCTATTACCACCGACACTTTCTTCGTACGGTCAAACAAACAAAAAATATATATACATATATTTAATTTATAAATAATATTTTCTTCTTCTATCTCTCCCCCACATACTTCCACCTTATTTATCGTTAAATATAAAATAAATAATTTTTCTTTTTCACGAAAGTAACACGTTCGAAAACTCGACTGAAATTCCGCACACCGCGACACGTGTGTTTTCCCTGCGGTCGCCCCGACGTTACTGTCTGAGCTGACTCCAGCTGCTTTAGACGCGATCAATACGTTCTAGATAGTCGAGATGAACCAGATAAAACGCAAAGCGCGTTAACTGTAGGATACCGAGATCACTTACATACATGTACACATAATATATATACACATTTACATGATTATACGTACGTGAGTATACATTTACGCATTTACCAAATCAATGGAACTAATACTTGACTATTTCGAATAATTTTCTGAATAAGATAGTTTATGTTGCCTTCCCTCTCAGTCACTCCACCATCAACACAACTATAACCCCCTTGCACCGCTCTCCTTTTATTTTTCTTCCTTACTCTTTTCTATTCTTCTTTCCTTTCCTATAACCCTCTTTCGTCTTCTTCTATTTTATCCACGATATTTAAACTTCGATTTTTCTCCCTTCGAAGATCGTCCTGAATAAAGGATAGGTCGTATCCTGTATTATAATGGCGCACCCTCATTCGATATATTACCAATCATAATGCATAAGGTCCGGATGTCGTTTCGATTTCATTTTGCAATAATAAATATGATCGTTTTTTCTATTGCATTTTAACTTGATTCTTTTATCATGTCGTTTTATTAATTGATTTTTCTTTTTTACTAATTTTATTTATACATTTAATTAGATGATTTGTTTTACTTCGTATTTTATATATTTCACTGTATCTTCCATTTGTTTTATTCGACACAATTATTATTCCTTTTATTAATTTATTTCATTCGCAAAGTTTTACTTTTTTCTTCTCCTGTTTCATATTATTATTATTATTTAATTTTAATTTGTCATCTCGAGTACTTTTTTTATTATTCTACTGATTCACGTTTATCCAGGAATTTATGGGGGTCGGATGGACGCAAGGGTAATATTTGCGACGCCAGGATTCTTCGTCGGTCACCATGGTTATCTACGAGCTGTCATGGTACACGTTTCATGTTATACGCGTTCTTATATTATATAAGAGTAATATGTCTGATCATTTTGTTTTTCTTCTTTATTTTTTTTTTCTCTCATGAGTCGAAGAATTTAATATTAGTACATTATAATTTAACGTGTTTAAATATCATAGATTTTATTATAAGTATAATTTTTCAAATTTTATTTCAATAAATTTCGAAATTATTTTTTTTTCTTTTTGTAAGATTTAAAATATAAATTTATTCTTTAATAAAAAGAAATGTTGAATAGAATGTTAGGAACAAATTTCATTGTATGAATAAATATATAAATGTTTTTTATAAGAATATTATTATCTATCAACGAGTTAATATTGTTTATTAAATTATACATACAATAATTATTATCTCATTTTCTCTTTCTATTTAGAGTGGAATATCACCATGGGGTGATTAATTTTAAATTTTAAATACTTTAATTCAAAAAGTTATTCAAATTTATTTCTCCTTTGTGACACTTTGCAAAACTAAGTGTGTACTTTATAATAATCAAAATATACACTATTTATACATACAAAAAAAAAAACGAATAAAAAATTCCATTAAATAAATACATGTTGTATTATTTTTAAGAATGTTTAGTAATCAACGTGTTAATTATTCGTTTATTAAATTATAGATAAGATCATTGTTATCTGTTTTTTTTTGTATCTAGTTGGTATGTATAGATAAAAAAATAAGATGAAGAAAAAGAAAAAGAATTAGTTCGACGAAGACGAAGACGTACGCGAAGATATTTATAGGCTGAAAATTCGCACATATGTATTTTCATCGTAGGCGTGACTCGTTTCTGCGTAGGTGGCGCATAATTAGATACGTAACGTTAATAATAGAGTTGAATACGATTGAAAGGAGGTTTCATCAAAAGTGCCTGGCCTTTTTCCGGGTTCTTCTTTTTTTCTTCTTTTTTTTTTCCCTTGTACATTTCGAACAATCCAAAAATTTGTCGAACTTTCATCACCAATCGAAACATCATTTTCTTCATTTAATTTGGTTTTATATATTTTCAATGTTATTTATAATGCATTTGTATAAAACAAAAAAAAAAGAATACAGGGATAAATTGAAATTCTACTTAAAACAATTGGATGCTATAGTTAGATCAAAAATTGATCGATTGAACGAGCAGAAAATTAATGAAAGAACAGGATGAGTTCGGGCACACCTTCGTGTAACGTCATCGTGACACCTTGAATGGCTTATATAACGAGTGCCACTGTGTGTTACACCAGTGAGTAGTGTCCATCGTATGTATATCTATGTTTGTATAAGTAAATTTATGTAGACGCGTATGTATGTACGTGTACAAGCATACGAGAGTGGATATTTTCGTGCGAGCACCTTCGTCTCTTTCGTCCATTGGAATTTTTTTTTTTTTTTCTAACAGCACGATAACCTTGAACGTTAATTTCGTTTTCAACGACTTCTGCCAGAAACTCTCTGACTTTATTCTAGATTTTCAAATAATTCAGCACGCGAAATAAAATAAAATCAAATTATAATACTTTCTTTCGTGTTACAATTATATTAAAAATGACAAATTAATTAACAATTGAAATTATCAAACAATCGATATGGTTACTTCATTATTATTAGAATAATGTTAACAGAGAGAGTTTTTAGTTTATAAGATAAATTAGAAATGTGTTAAAGAATAAAATGTATGTGTGTCGAGTGTATAAATAAAGGTGAACACAAAAAAAGTCAAAAAATAATTTTACCCATTTCTTGCTTCGCTTCGTGTGTCTGATGCCCGTTTACGCGCATCGTTGACTTCGAAGTTTCCTTTTCATACTTCTGTAAAACTTCGTTGAACGATCACTCGCTTTTCTGTAAAATAAATAAAAAGAAATAATAATTAATGAGATGAAAGGTAAGATTGCTATATAATAATCGTTTTTCCTATCAGTTTCATTTATCATTTTTTTGTAGATACTTAGAAAAATATTAAATAAAGTTTGTAACATAAAAATAGAGAAAGAAAACGAATAATAATAATAATAATAATAATAATAATAATAATAATAATAATAATAATAATAATAATACTTTCTCAAATAACAAACAGAAGATAGGATAGCGTTGAGACAATAAAAATCAAATAAAACCTTTCTTTGAAACTTTTTTTCAGATTTGCATGTTCAAGAGTTTACAGATATTTTCTTTAGTTTAGTTTTAATAAAATATCACGTATTATTACAATGATCTAGAAGAAAGAAATAGAGAAGGAGAGAAATCGAGATTATTCGACGACCAGTACCGTTTGTCAACGGACCGTGTATAATACAAAAATACATGGAATGTGGAAAACGGGTTGTTGAACGTGCAGCGAACTTGCGCTTCGACCAATGCATGGACCCGCATATCTCGCGATTTAGAAAGGTGCACATGCACGACCGTATGCACGTGTGTTTCCAGAGATACTTGACTGACAATTTTTATTACTTGCTTGGGCGCCGGATTATTCATATATTTTCTTATTCCTCTTTCTTCTTTTTATTTTACAATTAAAAAGAAAAAAATATATTAATTTTCTCAATCAAATGTCATTTCATGACATGTGCAAATGAATGTGTTTATAAATGTTTATTTTTACATTTATTTTATTTATATTTTTAAACATTTTTGTGTGTGATCGATATTTTGTAAAATAAACTTACGTTATATTTATATATGATAAGGGCAAGGTTGCATCACGAGTTATAAATACTGACGATTTATTTAAAATAACCTATTAATTTATATATATACATATAAAATATTTATTGTCAGTATTGGTATAAACTTATTATCGATTTGTAATAAATCATATTTTAATGTAAAATATTTATTACGTATAAAACAATGAAATGTTATTTTACAATTTATAATATCAAATTTAGATATTACCTGTGTCCCTAAATACCACTTCATTTGAAAACTTCTATTTTTATTATTATACTATGCAAATAACGAGAGAATTCTTTTTTACGGATGGAAAAGGAAATAATAAAAAGCGATTGAATTTCCTGCAGCTAAAAGCCATAATGGATTTGAAGGGGGAACGAAAGTACACCGTCAAAGCTGCCAACCCTTTGAGCGTTTCGAATTTTGCGTCGTGAGCTTCGAGCCTTCGACCCTTTTCATGCTTCGAAGGCATTTACGCTTTTGACCCTTTTTTTAATTTTTTTTCTTTTTTTTCTGTTTCCTCTACGTTCGTTCATTCGCTCGGAAATTTGTTCTCGGCCTACGCAAAGCGTAAAATACGAAATACACGTATATGCGTGTGTATGGGTTTATGTGCGTGTGAATGATACGGGAAAGATAATTAATTTCGTGTTACTTTGTCGGTAAAATCGTAAAAAGGTTGATCTTATTTTTTTTTTTCAATTTTTCTTTTTAAAACGATCATAAAATCATTTATATATATGAAACTAATACGATAATCTATCGTATCAAAATATCTTTATTCTGTCCATGAAATTGAATAATTAAATACATTAAAAGTATACTTTATTGGTATTCATTTATAATTATATAGTTTTGTTGGTTCAAAAAAGAAAGTAGTACATTATTATTCTCTATACTATATTAAAAGCTTGATCTAAATTATATGCATATAGAATTAATTTACATTCATATTTAAAGTAGTTAAATTACTGCTATAATATTAATTATTTTTTCCGTATCTTTCTTTTATTATACTTTATTCACATTATTCATAATACTCTCTATATATATTAAAATTTTAATTAAATATAAGGAATACATCAAATGTATGATAAAATTCTAATATACCATGCATATGTATATAAAAATTATCAGACAATTCGCTTAGAAGTAAACTTACAGAGAAACCGTGTCACGTACAGATCGGAATTGCAAATCAATAGATTCGAGATTAAGATCATCTGCTAACGTTTAATTACCTCTATTAAAGAAAAAAAAGAAAAGGAAAATAAAAGAAAAACAAATCACTAGTAAATAACTTTTTCTTTCAATGGAAAATATCCTAAAAAGTTTTGTGTGATTTAAATCGAAACTTGATCGTCGGTCTTGTAAGGCAACTCTTAAAGAAAAAATAATCGTAAAAGAAGTGTCAGGTTCGGCTATTTCTTACGAAGCTGAGAGATCGTTGAAAGTCCGAGGAGAGAAGCGAAACACAAAACCAGTAAGCATTGACCCGGCCAGAATGCTACCTTATTGGTGCATAAGACCAGACCCCACGGAGCTTATTTTACAAGATATCGTGTGCGTACTTATCTTTATATAGAATATATATATTCTTGTAAATACAAGAGTGATGTATGTGTTCTTTATTCTCCACTTTAAAATTACACATACGTTCCTTATATGTACTTCAGACGACGATGGAAAATTGGTTCACCGTTCTTCGATCCATAAACAGATACGAATCCTATCATAATATAATTTTCACTTAATATATCTTATCAATAATAGAACATCAAAGTAGATTAAAAAGTAAAGATTAGACAAATTCGTTCGAAATTAGTCATCGTAATAATAATAATTTTAACTCGAGGAATTCAAAGAAAAATAAAAAAATGAAAGAAGTTGTTAATTATTTTGTCTTATGTTAGTTCATTAATTCAATCAGTCATTCAGTCAGTCAGTCATTCAGTCAGTTAAAATATGAGTCTGCTAAAAGTGAACGAAACGAAGGTTAATTAACATCAAAGCGATTTAACTTTACGTTAATTGAAAGATATATGATATGTTAGTGAAGAAAATAACTTTGCACGTATACATTAATATTTATGCACGTATTTTATTATACATATTTTGTTGACGTTTTATATAAGGAAAATGGTGTCACTTTATCGTACTTTCGTGACTTTCGACTTCTGCATGGTCGTCGAACCTTTTTAAATAGAGCTCTCGGTTAATTCGAACGATAGGAGACTTCATGGTGTATTTAATGAAACGATCCCGTAGCTGAAAGTAGAGCGTCCTTTCATTTGAAACAGTGGGAAAGCACATGTTCGTAATACCGTTAAATACACCTAAACACACAACACCTAAACTTCCGCTCGTTCTTATGATCAACGAAGCTATTTTTTGTTTTCTTTTTTTTCTTTTTTTATTTCTAGTTTTATTATCAACAAATCGAGTTCATTTCCCGTAACGTCAAATACGAACATTATTATTTCATTCCATTATTATTCTAATTGAAATCGTTTAATATCACATGCAGATGTTTAATTTTTTTTTCTTTTTAGGAAAATATAATATTTTATTTTGTAAATTATAAATAATATATTCTTTCGAATAAATAATATATATATATATATAAAGTTGAAAGAATAGAAACCGTTAGGCAAGATATTAATACGTTCGACATAGCATCAGTATTATAGGAAGGGAAATGCGTGATTAGAAACTAGAAATGATGACCGCTACTAAGTACAGTGATTTTATTTAACGTCACTGTCTATGCTTCCACGAGCATGTTAATAACGTGAACGATATAACGTGCGAAAAGTGGCAAATAACTGTCTGCATCTATCTTCTGTTGGTCTTAAAAAAAAAAGAAAAAATGATGAGAGTTTAAAACACAGTTCTAAACGATCCTTTCAACAATCGTTTCTAAGCATTAAAGAGTATCGTTTCTCGAAAGAAAGTCATCGTAAGAGTCTTCATCATCGTTATTTTAGATTATAATTGATCTATCATTTGCTAGTATATCATGTATTACATCGTAAATTAATTTAACATAATTATATGAGTACGATTGATAACAAGAACAAATTTTTATTGTCATTAATTTTTATAATTATATTCGAATTTTTATAGATAAATTATTAAATTAATAAAAAAGAAATAATTTTAAAATAAAATTTTATCCTTAGGATGACAGTTAACATCAAACTCGTGGTATAATAAAAATACCTTTACCGGATGTAAGAAAAATTTTAAACATTTTTTCTTTACAAATCTAATAAAAATATTAATAATACGTGATTGAAGAAATATCGAGTTAAAATAAATAAAATAAATTTTTAAAATAGACAGAAAAATAAATTACTTATTGTAAAATAATTATTTCACTTATAACAATTAGTAAACCAACGTGTTTTTTTTTTCGGTAATATAATTTTTATTGATACACCAGATAGGGGATATAAAATTGATCACACAGAATTTCATGAATCTAAAACACACATGATTGAAATATATTGAGTTAAAATAAATAACATGAATAATCTTCTTAAAGTCAGTTGGAATTCCAAAGGATTCAAAGTATCGGTACCCACTCGTGGACACCCACTTAGGCAGCTATTCCTAACGTGGATAGTGGACATCGAGGTCAGTCAACTGCAACGCGATGTAAGCTATGCGTTAGCAGCGTGCACACACGGTGGAATTAACACATAAGCCTCTTATATATACGCGATTGCATCCGTGACTCTCACCGTTTCGTGTTCATTACGATAATTCTCGTTCGCTACCTTGGAAGGTCAAGGAAGTTACTGAAATATTTTTCTTTTTTTACCTTTTTTTTTTCTTTTTTTTTTTTTCTACAAAAGTATTTCGTATCGTTTCGTTTTGCAAATATGTAATAAATCAGGACGTGTTCTTTTTCGTACGTTTAGTATTATGGGTAACGAATGCCAACCGGTTTAGACCTTGACACTTATCGCAAATAGATAAGAAAACGTTGTCAGTACATTTCATTACGATACATGTATTTGTCTGTCTGTTTGTGTAAATATGTATATATGTTTGCATGTATGTATACATGTATGTGGGTTTATATTTGTAATACGTATCGCAATATTATGTGAGATAACAACGCTTTGCGTGAGTACTTATATTTTATTTTCTTTCTTTTTCAATGTTGCATAATAGTTTTTTTTAAACAAAAAGAAATACTTGTAATTTTGTCCCCTCCCTTTCTCTATTGTTCTTTTAACGAGTTGTCCATATAAATACTTACGAAAATTTTTTTTTAAATATTCATGAAAAATAATTATTTAAGATTATTGTTCAATAATAATGTTATTATTTTTATATTTTAATATCATTTAATTAGGTCTTATAGACGCATTTAGGTATATTTTATTAATGTTGAAAATTCGATGGAGGCGTTTCTTATAATCGCATGAAATAAATATAGTAAATGTCGTTAACTACAAGTGGGTCATGGCCAGTTATTTGGACGACGTTCACTTCATGAACGTGAACTTCTCAGCGAAATATATTCCTCTTTACGATTATGATGCGTTTTAAATGGAAAAAGAAAAAAAAAATTCAAACGTTTTTTAAAATGTTTTTTATTGTAATACGAATAGAGATAATAGTTTCTAGGACGAGTATATTAATTGTAGATTTTGCGTGTTGGATTTTAATTGAAAATCGAGTTGTTACGTACGACGAAACGTTGCTACTTAAAATACTTACTTTATACCGCGAGAATTTCTCACGACATTCAGCATCGTAATTTTTTTTTCTCTCTCTCTCTCTCTCACACACACACTATTGTTTTACCTTCGAGTCAGCAAATTCCGTTCGAAAAAAAGGAATTAAAAAAAAATATATATATGTATTCTCGTAACGTTTCATTCGGAAGAAAATAATTAAAGTACAGTAAAGTACAGTGAATCTCAGAAATATTTGAATATTCTTGAAAATTGAATAACATTTTTTTACATTGTAAAAAAAAACTTTAAATTTGTTTAAAAAAATGAAAGATATTATTATAGCGTATATATGTAAACAATATAATTTCTTTCGTTCAAATAAACATTTTCTTTTTCTAATGATTATTATTAAATTTATATATAGTAAAAATTGATAAGTCCTTAAAATCGTAGTAAAATGTTTTACGATAGTAATGGCAATATAATCACGATTTTATAGATCATTTAACAAGTGTAACACCACACGTTCTAGAATTGGCCAATTTCACAGATACGCATGAAAAGCAAACATCAAAAGTTTCGAGCCAATGTTTTTTTTTTCGATTATACTTTTATTACTTTTTAAATGTTGTTTTTCGTTTAATCTGAAATCTTTTCAACTTATTCTTCCGTACAAAATAACATAATAATATAAAGAATCGAAATATTTCTATAGAATTCAAAAAAATAACGTATATAAGAAAGTTCACTTAGTTTTTATTGATATACTTTCGAAAAATAAATGAGTCAAGATCGATTTTCTTCAAAGGAAATACGATGATCGACCACTTCCTTTCGGCGTCTGGTATTCATCTGCCAGAACGGGATGGCTTTTCACTGGTAAGAACGACTTTCTCCGTGTCGAAGGAATAATTGAAGCACGTAAAAGCATTCTTATATATGTACTTGTAATGAATATAGGATAAACAGTATAAATAAATACATATATATATATATATATA